CATAGCAACAGTTAAACAAGGACTCAGATAAATAAAAAAAGACTTGAAAGTGAAAAATGCTTCAAAAATGGAAATTAAATTTATTATAGGAGAGAGAGAGAAATTCCACCTTCATATATGCCTTTTCTTCTCTGCATCTTTTTTTCCCTCCTTGCAATTTATCATGAGCTATTTAACTTAAGCTGTAATCCAAGAACTATTTAAGTGTTGACTCTGCATGTGCAAGTTCTAAATTGCATACAGCAGGCTACTATTGACTCCTGAGTGGAAATGATTCATTTTCCTTCTTTCACTGTTTAATTTTCCTTTACATTGCTTCTACTTAATTTATTAAGGACTTCAAGCAAAGCTGCATGTGTTCCTGGTAAGATCAAAATTTAAATCAATGAGTTTATGAAGGGGTTTGCACAGGTATTACTGAGTTTATTTTAAAGTATATGTGCTCAGGCCCAGAGCTGATGCTCAGGGCTGTAATCTCACCTACTTGAATGATTGCTGGGTGCTCTGGCACAGGGAGAGGCAACTCTAATGCACAGCTTTGGGAGTCAAATTGGAGCTCTGATGCACAGCCCAAACTCGATTTGTGCTGTCTGGACAGGCTACAGTGTGAGTCTGAGCACAAGAAATGAGAGGAAAAAAAGACTTGTGAAATACTTTTATTTTGAAAATGGTGGCTTGAGTCATGCCAGCAGTGTGGAAGGGTGTACTGAAAGGGAAGCAAAGGTGACTGATGAGATCTGCGTTTGAAAGCAAAGATTCCAGCTTGTAAAGAGCCTCAAGATGCAAATCTCATTAACCCTAAATAGAGAAACCACTCCAAGAGATGAAGCAGAGTGATGTAGCTCAGAGAGGAGTGCCAGCTCCCATCATTGGAGGTGTCAGGATTGAATCCAGAATTTCTTCTGTCAGGCACTGTTAATAAAGTAAGGAGATCACATTGATGGAGAGGATCTAGAGCTGACAAATACATTCAGATTGACAGTGCTTCTTTGTGATTTTTAGCATTCCTATATGCACCAGGAATGAGAAAGACAAATCCCTTTGGATTCACACAGGACCATTTGGAGTTGTGCCAGCAGATGAAATTAGAATCATAGAATTACAGAACTGTTAGGGTTGGAAAAGACCTTCAAGGTCATCAGATCCAGTCATCCATCCAGCACTGCCACATTCACCTCTAATCCAAATCCCCAAGTACCATGCACCTTTTGAACCCTTCCAGGAATGGTGACTCTATCACTGCCCCAAGCAGCCTGTGCCAATGTTTACATTGTTTACAATGTTTACAACCCCTCTCATGAGAAAGTGTTTCCTAATACCAACCTAAACCTCCTCTGCTGCAATTTGAGCCATTTACTCTCATCCTTTCTGACCATCCTGGCTAGCAAGGTAGATGGTATTTTGTAGCTGTTTCTTATAAACTCTAACTCGGGTGAGTGTTCTCAGCAGCTGGATTTGACAGCTTGGGAGGTTTCCCAGTGAAAAATTCAAGATAGGGCAGGTTCTGGGTGCCTGGTATTGGTGGATGAGGAATGTGGGGACCAGAATGTCTCTCCAGCTGTTTGTGCTTCTGAGCTCTATTAACTGTTTTTTTTCCTCCTGAATATTTTCTTGAGGACTCAGCTCTCCTTCCTTGCAGAGAAACAAAGTTCCTGTGGCCACATCCTTGGTTCTGGGAGGGCTGAGCATTGTTCCCCATGTAGGTGGCACCAAAATGTCACCACTTGCAGCATTGCCATCTCCACATGGGGGTTGGTGCTGGCCTGAATGCTGCTGCTCTGATTCAGTAAAACAAACACCCTGAAACTCTCAGCTGCACAATGTTTTGATGAACTGGACATGGCCTTTTCTGTTCCAGGCTGTCATTCCAAATGTTTTACATTTATCTCTTTAAAAATGTGGTCTGTGTATTTAGAAAGTGAAGTTGTTTGATTGCTTAAGTTATTAGTAACTGCAGAGCTCTGGTTCCTTGGTCAGTACCAACCATTACAAAAGAAAAATCATTGTTACAGCGTTCCATAGAAATTGTTGGAGTTGAATATGATGTGACTGGCAAGTACATCTTGGTTAAATATTTGGGTGGTTCATGTTTGCCTTCTGGCACCAGTTGTTTCAAAGCTGTAAGGATTTTTGATTGAAAAAAAAACAAAAATGGTTGTTAAATTCAATGTCAGCTTTTAAAAACTAAATACTAGAGAATTTTGAGAATTATTTTAATTAAAAGCAAAACTAAAATTTTATTTATTTAAAAAAAAGAGATGTGGAAAATGATCTGAATAAGTCTAAAGCAGGTGGGCTGCATTTGAGCTCTGCTAGAACAGTTCTTTTTGTGGTTGCAGTTAGTTGTGAGAAAAATGTTACAGTACAGCTAACACCAGCCTGCCTAGCTGTGTGGGAATGGGTCTTGGCAAGCAAACTTCATACTTTGGGATGAGGTTGGGCTCCAGTTGATGAAGGTGACAGATGTATTTTTAACCCATTATAATACCGTTGATTATTTCAATCAGTACATCTTATTTAGTTAATGAGATTACTGCAAAGAACAAGCAGAGGCCGTAGAAAATAGATGATATTTGACAGTAATCTCATCCTCTTTCGGAGAGGTATGGAACTGAGTCCAAGCAGGAATGTACTAAGAGATCAGTGTTATTCCATAACCCATCACAGTATTTACTAGAACCAACTCTGAAGTTTCCTTGATAAAATATCCATGAAACATGCTGGATACAGAAGGCATCTTGTTTATCCAGAGGAATCCAGAGGGTTTGTTAAACTGGCACAGGCAAATGTGCCTTTTTAGGTGAGTAAATCTGTGGTTTGAACATCTGAGAAAAATACCCACGTCCTAGTTACTGACTGGGGGATTGTCTCCTTAAAAACCGTAGTTTGAGGAAAAGAACAAGTCATGGAAAGTGTGGTGAGTAACAGGCTAAATGAGGCTGTTGTGTGATACCGTGGTGAATTGGTGGGAATGGGAACTGCCAGTCAGCATGGTTTCCTGGAAAATCTGCCTCTCTAGATAAACACAGTCTTGTTTCATGTTTGACTTTACTTGAGTGGTGTCTATAAATATGTGCAAGAAGCAAAGATTTCTTATACCAGAGGGCTTTTTATTTTGTAGGCAAAGATTTAATGAGATTTACTGCCTGGAAGATGAAAAGCCTGATCAGACTAGGGGGAAAAAAAGAAGTTTCTCTCACCACTTGAAGCCTTTCTGTGAGCATTCAGTGAGATATGCTGATGTGTTCACACACCTTTGTGTAGCCTCAGAAGAAAAGAGTAAAAATGCTTTGGTCTGTCCTCTGCAGGAGGGTCACGGTGGCTTTGGCTTGCAGTATCTCTTCAAGAATCACCCAATGCTGCAGCTCTGAGGTGGGGTGTGTTGCAGGGATGGTGTGATCCCTCTGCCCTATAAATAGCTGCAGTGTGGGGGGCTTTGCTTTCTGTGGAGCTGGCAGAATGGAGACCAGAGCTGTGGCTCTGAGGTGCCAGCTCTGCCAGCAGCTCCAGCCTTGGGTTCCTGTTCGGCATTGGACATTCCTGAGGCCTTGGCCAGATGGCTCAGACCTTCAAGCTGTGGGGGAGGCGGGTGCTCACAGGCCTGGGGCTCAGTCCTGCTGAGGCAGATGATCATTCACCTTTCAAGTTCCTGACAGCATTTCAAATAAACTGAGTTTACATGTTGATCACATTTGCAGAATCTGCTTATTTCTAGAAGTGTGGTCTGGGGTTTCTGTGGAAAATGATGTTGGGTTTAATTTTGTAAATGATACATCTTGTAACTGCCATGATCTATAGTTCTGTGTAGGTACCACTCTGATTAGAAGGTGCAGTCAGTGGGGTGTTCTTAAATGTGACGGGACAATATGTTCTAGACACGCTAGGAAACAATCCTGAGGTACAGCAAATGGCAATCTGAGGATGTGAGTCTGTGAGTGTGTGTGATTGTGACTCTCTGTGTGACTGTGACTCTGTGTGTGATTGTGTATGCGACTGACTGTGTATGTGAGTGTGTGTGTGACTCTGACACTGTGTGTGTGTGTGCGAGTGTGATTGTGTGTGAGTGTGACTGTGACTCAGTGTGTGAGTGTGATTGTGTATGCGACTGACTGTGTATGTGAGTGTGTGTGTGACTCTGACACTGTGTGTGTGTGTGCGAGTGTGATTGTGTGTGAGTGTGACTGTGACTCAGTGTGTGAGTGTGATTGTGTATGCGACTGACTGTGTATGTGAGTGTGTGTGTGACTCTGACACTGTGTGTGTGTGTGCGAGTGTGATTGTGTGTGAGTGTGACTGTGACTCAGTGTGTGAGTGTGATTGTGTATGCGACTGACTGTGTATGTGAGTGTGTGTGTGACTCTGACACTGTGTGTGTGTGTGCGAGTGTGATTGTGTGTGAGTGTGACTGTGACTCAGTGTGTGAGTGTGATTGTGTATGCGACTGACTGTGTATGTGAGTGTGTGTGTGACTCTGACACTGTGTGTGTGTGTGCGAGTGTGATTGTGTGTGAGTGTGACTGTGACTCAGTGTGTGAGTGTGATTGTGTATGTGACTGTGCCTCTGTGTGTGTGTGTGAGTGTGATTGTGTGTGTGTGATTGTGTATGTGACTGACTGTGTATGTGATTGTGTGTGTGACTGTGACTCTGTGTGTGAGTGTGATTGTGTATGTGACTGTGACTCTGTGTATGTGATTGTGTGTGTGACTGTGACTCTGTGTGTATGTGTGTGACTGTGACCCCAGGCTGCACCAGTTTGGTCCACACTCACTGCTCATAATGCCAAGCTTGTGGGTTTGATCCCTTTACAGGCCAGTCACTGAAGAGTTGGACTTGACAATCCCTGTGTGTTCCTTCCAATTCAGATATTCTGTGATTTTCCCTTTTCACCATTGATCTGTTAGTTGTAGACCTTTTTTCTTGGCAGAAGAATAGACTTCTATTTATTACCTTGCCTTTTTTGTCCTTTGCTTTCTGTTTATTCTCTATTTTCTTTCCCCAGTTACCCAGTGGGAGACTCTTCCATGCGGCAGCAGTTATCTCGGATGCTATGTACATCTTTGGTGGCACAGTGGACAATAACATCAGAAGTGGAGAGATGTACAGATTCCAGGTAATTTGCTGATAAGCATACTCACTTCCACACCAGGTCCACATGAGTCCTCTCTGTGGAGTGTCTGGTTTAGCTCTCCATGAGTTCCACGGCTTTTAGTCCATGGCCTTCCTACAGGCAACCTCTGTATTTCAGATTCAACTTTCAAAGGTCAACGTGTGTCTTTAAAATCTTCGGAGAAATGTTATTTGGACAGACATTTTGGTAAGGTCAAGCCCTCTAGTGCCTTCTGAAATCCTACAGAGATCATGACAACTTTGACAAATCATTGGAAAGTGTAGCAGATGGGATTTGCTATGTTATTTCATTAAAATTGGCTGTTCCTCTTCATGTGCTGTCTTGTTCAGGGCTCTGGGGCAGTGTTTTGTATTTTGGTTTTATCTCCATGCAGCTCTCCCATCCCACAGGACTATGGGAATTGAAAATTTTAAATTCAGGATACTCACACTAGATTAAATTCAACATACACTCAAGTTTATTTTTATTGCATGGCACCCTCAGACAAGTCCTGAGAGTAGGCGAGACTCCCACCCTCCAAATCCTTGTATCTGGGAGCTGTGATGAGACACAATTCTTCCATGTTACACTGTGTTATCTGTCCTTACCCTAACCATGGGGGAAGACCTTGCATGTGTTTGGTTTGCTTGTGACATTCTACTCTACATGCTACACTGAGGCTGAATTAATAAGAAAATCCAGTGATAGTAGATGTAACCTTGGTGCTTTTGGTGACAGAATCATGGAATCAGGAATACCCTGAGCTGGAAGGAACCCACAAGGATCATCAAGTCCAACCTCTGGCTTTTCACCGACACCCCAACAATCCCACTCTGTGCATCCCTGAGAGCCTTGTCCAAACACTCCTGGAGCTCTGGCAGCCTCGGGGCTGTGCCCATTCCCTGGGGAGCCTGGGCAGTGCCAGCACCCTCAGGGGGAAGAACCTTTCCCTGATCTCCAGCCTGAGCCTGCCCTGGCACAGCTCCAGCCCTTCCCTGGGTGCTGTCCCTGCTCACAGCAAGAAGAGATTGAAGCTGTCCCTCCACTGCCCCTTGTGAGGAAGCTGCAGACCCTGAGGAGATCTGACCTCATGCTCCTCTGCTCCAGAATGATTTGAGATTTTAAGTTTATGTAGCCACTGAAATTAATTCTGTCTTCTGTGGGGTTTTATTTTTTTAGTTTTCTTGTTACCCTAAATGCACTCTCCATGAAGACTATGGAAGGCTGTGGGAAAACAGACAGTTCAGTGACTTGGAGTTTGTTTTGGGAGAGGTGAGTAAAATTTATTGGGCAGATGCCAGTGGGTGTGTTACTGTGTGTGTGGTGTGTTTGCTGGGAAAAAGCAAATTGTGCAGTGGTTGTGCCAGAAACCCTGGGAATGAATCACTGGTGAACTGTCTGCCTGGTTTAGTAAATTTCACTAATCCAGATAATTTTTTAAAGCTGCAATGGAGAAAAAGCTTTTAAACTGAGAAGATCTGTGAGTCATTGACTTAGCCTGAATTTATCAAAGCATGTTATATAGAGTTGCAATATGAAAATTTACCAATGACCTCTGCACTTCCAGGTCCCAGTTGCCTCCTAGGAAGGTGGAGTGTTTTGCAAACCCATTATCATTTCAAGAGCCATTTTTAATTACTGAAATAAAAGAGAATGAGAAAAAGCAATACAGGGGAATGGTTCTCTAGTAATGAAAACAGTTTAAAAATTTAACAGAGAGCAGATTTTCTGAAGATAAACACGAGAAATTTGAACTTACCTGCATTCCTTTTGCAAAAAGAAAAAGTTAGAAAAAGCTTTACAAAGCTCAGAGAACAGATCCTCAACAACGGGTGAAATCAATTATGGCAAACAATAGCAAAACCCATACTGTTGTTTTGAAAAGGGAAAATTAAACAGAAAATCAGATGTAAGGATAAAAAGCACTATACATGACACAGCAGCTTCCACTCAGTGAATGTGACACAGGCTCTTTCCCAAATGATGTTTGCCATTAGCCTTTGGGGAAATAGGTGTTGAATTTCATCTCTGTGTGCAGAGCAGATGTAAGGCTGCCTTTGACACTGACTTGAAATGTGTTGTAACCTGGGGTTAAGCCCAGGTTTCTATGACTTCTACCATCTGCCATGACCATGTGATTTGGTGATAAAAGTTGAATGTGATTTTTGCCTTTGGCAGAAGGAGGAGCGAGTCCGAGGGCACACTGCGATCGTCACTGCTCGCTGCAAGTGGCTGAAAAAGAAAATCATGCAAGCCAGGGAGAGGGTGAAACAGGTGAGTATTTTGGAAAAGTAGTCTTGTAGCTAGGTAAGGCTCATTCTGCCCAGGTTTGGGAATAAGGTTGTCAGGAGAAAAGTAGTATCTGCTGAGACAGCTGGAGGATGGGAGCAGTGTCTGATGCTAAGGTGCTCTTGAGCAAGTAAAATAAAGAGGATCATTAGTATTAATGAAGGCTACTGGATGTGTATCAGGAGTGTAACGTGGAGGAGCCAGAGTTAATCCAGTTATCTGGATTTGGCAATGTGGTTCTTGGAAGCTCTCATAGCTGTCTGAGGTCTAATCTTGTGGAATGCCCCAGAGAGGTGTATGTGCCCTTCCCTGTGGGGGAGGTAAAAGCTGTGTCATGGGGATGACCCACGAGATCAGACAGATTAGAGGGAAGAAAAGCAATACTAAGGGTTTCAGCTGCCTCTGTTCCCTTAACCATTTTATTTTTTTACTTCTTCCAGAGGTGAAAGTCTGGTGCCTCTGATCATTGTCTATTTATTTTGACTACTTCCAGGTTTTCAGCAGCAAACATTTGATGGCTTTTGGGGAAGTGATAGCACGCAATCTGCAGTAAGATGTGGATGCCTCATTGCCCCCCAGTTAATTATTTTGCCACTGGAAAGGCTGTGGGAAAAGGCTGTCAAAGTGAAACTTGGAGTACCAGAGTGCTTTAAAATACTTCTGTGCAGTACTTTGTACTCTGCCTTTGCCAGGCAGGGTTTGTGGAATCTACTCCCACCTGTCCCTCCTTCTCAGAGTGGGGTTGTTTCTGCTGTGGGCAGAAATGTGAGTTCAGTGCAGTTCAGTCTTCCCTTGCTCTGGTGTCCTGCTTCTGGCCTGTATCCAGGAGCTTACTTGTGTTCTGATCCATGTGTGTTCCAGGATATGGAACAGTAAGTCTAAGACATATGAATTCCTTATTATCTTGAAGGTAATCCTGAAGCTAAAAGAGATCCTGTGTCTTGAAAAATGTGGAGTAAGGAGAAGGATCCTCTGGTTTGGTGGTAACTTGTGTGAAGTGGCACAGGCTTTAGCCATGTTTGGGTGTTTTTTCTGTTTCATTAGAAATCAAAACAAGACATTGAAGAGGAGGGACACACCACATGCCAGAAGGATGGGATTGGTGGGAATGTCAAGCTGTGCCGACTGCAGCCACTACTGGAAGTGCCCATCCGAGAGGCTGAGGCCCAGCCCTTTGAGGTGCTCATGCAGTTCCTGTACACAGATAAGATAAAGTATCCCCGCAAAGGTAGGGCACTAGGGAGGGGAGGGGGGAAAATATGTTTGGAAATAGCAGGATCCAGCATTTACAGGTGATCAGTCCTGTTCTGAGCACTTAATTACTAACCTGAGATTAAACAAAAAACAGATATTTATCAGAGAATGCTAACCATGGTTTTTTTCCTCCCAATTCTTTTCAAATATCAAGGAAGAACAAGTTCTTGATCATTCCAAAAGGTGTAAAAAACCCCAAACAAACAAAAATATTGTATTTTGAACATCACAGCATCCTGCTCGGAAGGACCATGTATCTTATCTTGGCTTGGCTTATTTCTTTTTTTCTGATCAATTCTTTTGATCCTTTTTAAACTGAGCCCACACAGAAAGGTGTGCAAGCCAGTATTTATCACCTGTTAAAAATCCAATCTGAAGGAATGCCTCAAGAAAGGAAAAATCTGTTTGATGCATTCATTGAAGTTCTCTGAATTAAAAACATTTGTGGATGGAGAATAGCCAGAGAACTTGCAGCTCCCACACAGGGAATCCAGGAGCTGGCTGTGTGAGTGGTGAGGGTTCTGGGGCAATGGGAGTGAGTCTGGATACAGTGAAGAACTCCAGCTGCTGGGGCTGGGGAAGCTGCAGTCATGGGGCACAGTGAAGTACAGTGAGGTACAGCTGTCCTAGCACTGAACTTTGCTTCAGATTCACTCCCAAGTTTGTCCCTTTCTGCAAAGATGATTCTGAGGAAAAATGCAATACATGTCCATTTGTGCCAAGGCTTTGCCTGTGAGGACGCCTGTCTGAGAATGATCCCGCTGACTGGGGATGAGGAAACTGCTTCCTGGATTCTGCTGACATTGCCAGATCCCTCTCCCAGCCATTCACTGATGCTCAGTACCCTCACCTTGGGACAGGCTCAGTCCAAGGGAAGACTTGGCCCCCTGAGCTGTTCCCATTGTTACAGACTTCCCAGGCAGCCTGCCCCTCTTCCCCAGCCCATGAGAGCTTCTCCCTGGTGCTCCTCCTTCTGCTGGGATCCTCCATGGGACCTGCCCTGCCCATTTGTATTCCTAGTTGTGCCTCTCAGTTCAGAGAGCAACACCCTGGGGAGCCATCCAGAGGCTGAGCTAATGGAATTGGGCATGCTCATCAAATGGGATTTTCCAATTAGACACAGGGAAGGCACGTGACACACGAGAGGGCTTTTCTCTATTAAAAAGCAGTTAGAGCAGATGGGCAGAGATCTCCTGTGAGGAAAGCAAAGACCATGGGGGATTATTCCTCGAGTTAGTGTCCCAGTAGCCCCATTGCAGTGGCCTACAAGAGTTCCCTCTCCCTCTCTTTCACTTCAGCCCTTGTAGACCGGCTGTGGGTCTGTGCAGGCTGAAGTAGAGCACCTTCGTAAGAGTCTGTTAGAAACAGAGCTGTGGAAAAGCAAGGACTCCAGCAGGGCTGCTGGCAGCTGGACACTGTGAGAAATTTGGCCTCAAGCTCTGGTGCTTGTCAGGGATTTTAGAGACGTCACTTTCTTTGGAGGGTTTCAAAAAATTGTGATCCAGATTGTCACAAAATCTTTGTCTAAAAAATACTTTGGATTGGCTTTTGCTTGCTTCAAATTTAAACCTCCTCTTCTAGTGTTGACTCAGATTTTATCTAACCAGGAATGGAATTTTTTTCTCTTTAATATCTAGTCACTGCCCATTCTACAATTCTGATTGCTCTGGTTGATATCAAAATACTTTTAGAAGGATTCCTCTCTTTGTTCTGTGAGCTCTCCAGCAGTTTTCCCTCTTGCAATTTCAGGTCATGTGCAGGATGTGTTACTCATTATGGATGTGTACAAACTGGCCTTAAACTTCAAGCTCTCTCGGCTGGAACAGCTCTGCCTTCAGTATATTGAAGCATCTGTAGATCTGCAGAACGTGCTCATTGTGTGTGAGAATGCTAACAAGCTTCAGCTGGATCAGCTAAAGGTAATCACATTCTGCATACAAAGTAACTGATAGGAATTTTTTTAAAAATAAAGTGTATGTAATTAACATTTGGCCAAAGGTATCAGCTTTTGCAAATTCATCATTCCTTAAATTACAGTTGCTTGAGTATATTTAGCATAGGTTGTCCTGCAGTGGCTTGTGATATTATGTAGGCTTTTTTCAATATGTGCTCAATATTTTTGGGAGTCTGCTTTGTAGAATGTCAAGGGCAGAGTGACTTTGGCTCTTCATCAGTTCACTCTTGCTGCAGCAAGATAGAACCAGTGCATTTCCTGGTCTTGCTGTGGTATATATACTGACACTACAAAAAGGTTCTTTCGTTTTCTGGATGGGAAAACTGAACTCTTCTCAGGCCTTTGTACTGAAAAACAAAATGTGCCAGTGATTCTCTGTGCTGGGTGAGAGGCTTTTGGGTGTTTGGTGACAGTCAGGGTAGAGTTGACCCCTGGTTGCAGCCCAAGAGGTGGTGGCTATGCTGATCCCAGAGCAGTGCACAAAGCCAGTTCTGCTGAACCTACAGAGAGCAGCTCCTGCCCCCAGTCCCAGAGGCAGAGCAGGACTGTGCAGTACCTGCTGCTGATGTTCAGCCTGTGCACACCAGTGACCATATTGCTGGTGGCTGCAAGCACAGTGAGGCTGGAGAAATCAGTATGCACCAGCACTTCCTCAGGCACTGTGTGTGCACAGGATGTGGGAGAGGAAAGGCTGCCAGGAGGAAGCAGCAGGGCCAGCAGCAAGTGTGTAAATGCCAGCATGGCCTTTGGTGCATGGCACCATGGTGCCATCAGCTGCCCATAAGCTCAGGCATTGGTGGATCTGGTGCCCCCACCTGCCCTGGCTACCTCCAGAGCAACAGGGGCTCTTGCACACAGTTCCAGTCAGGCAGGATCACCCTGAGCTGGCATCCTCTCTGCTCAGGTGCTCATTAGTCCTCATGGTGAGTCCTCTGTGGAAAACTGCTATTTCTGGCATCCCAGCCATGAATTAGAACGTTTCACAGGTGAGTCCTGATACCTTTGGATCCCAGGTGAAATAAACTGGCAGAAACAGACAGTAATAATGAATCTTTGGGTAAACTTGTATCCACCTTACGGTGAGCTGGTGCAGATTGCATTTATTGCTTGTAAAAGTGTCTTGAGGGGAAGCCTTGGTTCATACTGGGAAATGAAGTGCTCTTTTTTTGTCTCTAACTGATTAGCATTAGGTCTGGTTCATTTGTCACCTTTTCATGACACTGATTTTCATTGAACTGTTTGCTGTGTTTGTGGAAAAGATTCAGGCAAAACTCACACAAGGAATCCTGTAAGCTCTTGGAAGCCTTGGTGGAGAGTGTCAAGAGTTAAGATCTCTTCATCCTTTTAATTAACTTCTGGTGTCTAATTATGTTAGAAGTTATGAGATAGCAACCAATCTTCATTATCTCTGTGCAGTTTTCAGTATCTCCTGAGATACCTGTTTTAGAAAGCTTTGGAACAGCTCAATGGGCAGTTAATCTCTTCCTTGTTAATATTTCTAGTCAAATTTTTCTAGATGCTTAGAATTGTCCTGAATTTCCTGTTCAAATAAGAGCCTAAACAGTCATTTAGGAAGGATAAGAATATCACTGTTGGATAATTCCAGCTGCAGGATCCTTGTGGAGGTTCAAAGGGAAGCATGGCAGATGGCATATGTAACATGTAACATTCATGGTATGCTGTAAGATGACTTCAAATAATAACCATACATTTCTTAATCAATACTGGTGTATTTTTAAGGAACATTGCCTGAACTTTGTGGTGAAGGAATCCCATTTTAATCAAGTCATAATGATGAAGGAGTTTGAACATCTTTCTTCATCCCTCATTGTGGAGATTGTCCGGAGAAAGCAGCAGCCTCCTGTCCGAACGCACTCTGACCAGCCACTCGACATTGGTAACCTTCCTGCTTTATGGACTAATTCCATGTGCTGGTTTTGCTTTGCTAATGGTTTGTTTAGCCTGGGGACATGTCTGGGAAGCAGCCCTCTGCAGCCCACCAGTTCCCAGCTGGGATAACTTACTCAGGCTATCTCCTGGACTGAGACAGGGCACAACAGTTCTTTTCCCAATGAGTTTCCATCAGAACGGTGTCCCATCAAAGTACATGAGAAATGCAGTCATTTTCTTGCAATAAACCATCCTGATCCTGTTCAGAGAGGTGAGAGAAGGAGCAGGAGGGTGTAAAGAATGATCAAAAAAAAGGCAGTGAATGGTCACTCTAAGTGGCTGAAGGGTGACAGAGCTGAGCAGGGTAACAGCCTGCTTGAAGGGGTTCACCAAGGAGGAGCAGGAGGAAGGAGGAGGGTCTTGTGAATAAGGCACAGCTCTGTGTGTGTGTGTGAAAGGAACAGGAGATAGGGAAGAGAAGAGAAAGATGTGATTTACAGTTTTATTGTGGAATTTGTCAAGGCCTGATTTGAGACTAGTCTTACTCAACATTTTAACATCCTGACACACATCACAAGGAATGTAATAATGAAATTTTCCAAGGCCACAAAGCTCAGAGGCACTGGCAGTGTTGGTGTGCACAAAAATAATTGGGAACTGAGGAGAAAGAAGGAAGCTAGTCCTGGAAGGTCAAGTGGAAAGGCTTTGGCTGGCATTTGTCCCAGAGGGGCAAGGTGCACTGGCTGGGAAGGTGGCACAGACAGTTCTGTATGCAGAGCTGGAGTGGTGTGAGAGACCCAAACATTAAAAACTGAAAGATGAACTTTGAAAATGTGATTGAGTTTAGAGCAGACTTGGATGTGCTCTGTTTCTCAGTTGTGTATTTACAAAGGTTGATTAAAATACTGGATAAAAGAAGCCTCTGTTGCTGATTTGGGAAAGATTTTTCGTTAAGACACAAAATTTTATATTCCTTGTGGTTGGAATTAGTGCAAAGGGAAGGGAAAAATCAGCTTTCCTATCTCTGGGGAGGTGGCCACAGCTGGAGTTTGCTGTCAGTGGCAGAAAGCAGAGCTGACAGGTTTGGTTCTCTGAGGGCCAGTAGGGAATGAGCTGTGGTGGGGAAGGATGAAACTCATTTTGCTCCAAGATTATGAAGGACTTGACTCAAATTCTCACTGAGAGTCCCGAAGGGAAGAGGGGCTGGAGCTCTGGCTTGACCAAGTATTAATTTAATAATACCTGATCACCTGGAACTATCATGTCTTTATTTCATTATGTTTAATTTCAGGAACATCTTTAATTCAGGACATGAAGGCTTACCTGGAAGGAGCTGGGACTGAATTCTGTGATATCATCCTGCTCCTAGATGGGCACCCACGGCCAGCCCACAAAGCCATCCTGGCAGCTCGCTCCAGGTGAGCCCTGTTCCTGACACTGTACCCAAGAGTGTGTGTGAAGGACCCTGCAGGGCTGGACAGTCTGTGCTCAGCTGGCTTGGTTTAGAAGACAGGGAGGAACTTAAATCTGCATGAAGTGTTAAGATGCAGCTTTGCTCAATGAGTGTAATAAGCCTTCAAGCAGTAGTGATTAATTTTTTTTTTTTTTTCCTTTTGATACCCAGCAGGGAAAGATAGGAAGAAATTAGAACTGCAGAGATCCTGCAGAGGGTGTGTGAGAAGCTGCACTGCAAGACAAAGCATCTGTAAAATCACAGAAAGGGAAAAAGGATTGAAAACTTAAAGTGCTTTCAGTGAAGTGGAAAGCAACAGATGCCCAGTGAGGTCAGAAGGGGCCTTCTGACAGTGAACAATTCATATTGTATCATGTGGAACTTGAATTCCTTTCTCACTTTCTGATATTTAATAATGGTTATGAATAAACATAAAAAATGGTGCATGACAGAGACTAGAGTGTTCCCATGCTTTATGCAGAGAAAGGACCCTGTTGATGGTGGGACTGTTCTCCCTCCTCAGGGTGTGGGTGAAGTGGATTTGTCCTGCACTAGTGTGTTCTGTGGACCTGCACCTTATGTTCCACCAAACATTAAGTGTTCACATAAAATTTCTATTTCAAATACCGTCACAATATTTTTCCAGACCCAGTAACAATATTCAGTATTAGTTACAGTGGTATTTTACCAGAAGCATTTCACAGCTCTTAAAACAGCCCTGATGATTGGCAGCCTGTAGATACCAGGGAAATTCATAATGCTTTAAGCTCCTTGCTGCATCTTATGCAAATTAGAGAAAAAGCAAAGCACCATGTGTCCTAATTTTCAAGAAACAGACAAATTTCAGGTAGTTCTGATGGTAATTAGGGGGATTATATTTGGAGTTTTCACTGGCAGACATACATGAAAAAATAAATGAGCAGTGTTTTTGCCCAGGATGTCACTGGAATGTGTTGCTTTGGAAGCTGCAGTTCTGAATAGCAGCCTTTGAACAATACTGGGTTAAACCATCTGTCTGCAGAATGTGTTATATCAGTTTTATTTCCCTTTCCAGTTACTTTGAAGCCATGTTCCGTTCCTTCATGCCAGAAGATGGGCAAGTGAACATTTCTATAGGAGAAATGGTTCCCAGCAAGCAAGCATTTGAGTCCATGCTTAGATACATCTATTATGGAGAAGTGAACATGCCTCCTGAGGACTCCCTGTATCCTTAGATTCGAAGGAATTGGAGGATCTGTCTTAGTGCACATCTGGCAGGTCACCTTCCTTTTGCTTTGGGTTGCCTGGCACAGACATGGCACAGAGAGGGTGGTCTGTCAGGGGGGCACCAGCAGGCTCTGTACTTCCATTCCTCACAGGGATTTGTTTGCCATCAGTGCTCTCACCTTCACTTTCTGGTTTATTCCTCAATGGGATGAACAGATACCTCTTTGCAGCACCTTACTACTATGGCTTCTCCAACAACAGGCTCCAGGCCTACTGTAAGCAGAACCTGGAAATGAATGTCACGGTGGAGAATGTGCTCCAGGTAATTGTCCCCAAGCACTTGAGCTAGTCACTCAGAGGAGAGCCAAGGGATCTGGTCAAGTGGGTACCTCCAGTGCCAGGTCTCTGGGACTGCCCAGACCCTTCCAGTGGCAGTGGCCCTGTGTGAAGATGTGTGTAGGAGCCCAGCCTTCAGCAGCATTGTTCCTTACCTGGTACTGTGTCTCTTCTGTTCCTGTGCTGCAGGGTTCAGCCAGCTCACCTGGCTCCTCCTGAGCTCCCATCCCCCATTACAGAACTGTGTTTCTAAAAGTCTTTCTAAGACGACCACATGCTCAGCACTCAACTGTAAACCCTTTTTGGCAGACATTTGTTCCAGGGCAAATGGCAAATGATGGTCTGCAGGTGACAGACATTAGTCTTGTTTTATCAGTGATGCTGACAGGATCTGGCAGTGGAGTTTGAGCTAGCAAAAGATATTGTGTGGTAAGAAAGTCAATGCCAGCTACCAGGCAGACAGCCTGAACCTCTGCAGCACAAGCAGAAGCAATTCCTGCTGATAAGTTCTTGAGGACTCCATACATTTTAAATCCAAGGCTTATTTTTGAATAGTTCAGAAAAGATTCAGTTTGTAATGCAAAATGGAGATGTTGCTAAGAGGAGTTACCTGCTCTGGGTCAGAACTGTGCATCTGAGCTGTGCAGAACGGAAATCACATTTTTGTTCCTGCTCTAGATTTTAGAGGCAGCTGACAAGACCCAGGCCCTGGACATGAAGAGGCACTGCCTGCACATCATCGTTCACCAGTTCACCAAGGTTGGTTGCATCTTTTCTGTGGCTTTTGAGAGCTGCTGTCCTCTGTCACTGCCTTGGTTAAAGACACGTTCATATAGAAATACATTTAACTCTTCCTCATGTGAGACAGCTGAGAGCTGGCTGCATGTTACTGACGCTCACTGACAGGACTGCTAGGCACACTTCTCACACCAAAGTAAATTAAAGACTAGAACTAGCTAGTCTAGAAATGTGAAGCCCTTCCAAGCAGAAGTTACCCAAAACTGCTTCCATTTCCAGTTGTTCTGTTAATTTAGTGCCATGCCCTCGTTGGGTTGGTGTGTGTATAGCAGGGTAAGTTTGTTGTATGTTGAGAGCACAAATCTCTCCCTCACTAGCAGTTACCAGTGTGCTCCTCATACTTCCCTTAAAGTATTCTCTATCATACATGTTTTATTGTCATGTGCTCTAAAACAAATTACCCGGTCCTGGCTGGGCTCTCTGTGATTTCCATGTTCAACAGTTGGACTCCATGGTCTTAGAGGTCCTTTCCAATCTTAAAAATTCTGTGGTTCTGTTTCGATGGGATTCTGCATTGGTGGCAGGAAAGGTCAAGAGCCTGATGTGCTGATACTCCTGTCCTCCCTTGAGAGAATAAGGATATTGTCATTTAATTGTTCATATGAGATGTGATCCCTCAATAAGAGTTCCCCAGCATGTCATCAGTTCATTGCTCATGTCATTAGCATTGCTGAAATAGGTAGATAAATCATAGGAATTGGATTTCTGGATGCTACACACATACTGATAATAATTCCCTAGTTAATATTCAAGTAGCTCGCTCTCCTTTGTATATTTAAACTCACAATCCTCCTGGGGAAGAAGAGCACTGCTGTGTCCCATTAGTGTCTGGAGAGAAGACAGTATGGTGTTCAGGCTCTTTATTAAATGCCAAAGTTGCTGGAGCATGACGCATTTTACATTCAGAAATAACTGAAATTGCATAAAAAGCATGGAGAGTGGAGCCAGAATCCAGAAATCACTCCCAGAAGAGAGTCCACAGCATGAGGTTGCAGCCCCTGCCTTCATCCTGCCTGTTTCCTTCTGCCCCCATGAGTCCTGTGGAGCAGCCTAGTTCAGCAGGGATGGGGAATGGTCCCACTGCAGGGTACAGGACAATCCCTGGGGTTGGGGTCAGTGCCTTGCAGCTGCTGAGGGCTGAAATATCACAGTATGAAGTATCACTTCCCAGTGGAGGCCACAGGAAGACAAAGAGGTGTGATTCTCCCCAGAACGTACAGGGGGAAGTAGATATTGCAACACTGGGAGGCAGCAGTGGGAGCTGGAGGGCGTTCCTCAGCTGTACTTCCTCACCAGGATGTGAGGAAATGTTTTTTATTTCAACTCTTGACTGGTAGAACAGTGTTCATCAAAACGTGTCTGGAAGACTGTCAAGCAGATGTGCACGGAGAAATCTCAATTATGCAATGTTTTCCCTTGGCCTGAGAGGCCTCAGTGTGTGATTCTTGGCCTGGGCTGGGTGACTCAGTGTGGCTGGGCACGGACACTGCTCCTGGGCCAGCCACAGGCTCTGAGGGGGATTTGTTCTCAGGCACAAGCCTGGTGGGTCACCGGAGCTCAGGCAGGCTGGGCCCCTGGCTGTGGGATCTCCTGTTCCTCCAGTTACTTAAAGCTGTTCTGGGTTTGGACTGCTAAGGAGTTTTCCCCACAGCAGGAGCATTACTGAAGAGCTGTTTCCCAGAGGTTCACTGCTTTGGGCAATGTGTTTTCAGGCTCGTGTGTGTCAGTGTTGTACAAAACCCCTAATAAACCTGCTGTTGTGACATGTTTGTAGTGACACCCTGATCTGTTCTGCAGTGCGTGCCTGGGGTGGGGGCACGATCCCACCAGTGCTAAGGGGGTCTCTCTCCATCCCAGTCCTGGCAGATCCTTAGACTGGGGATATTGCTACAAGCATATCCTGAGCTCTTTCTGGAAGCATCCTCAGACATTTCCTTGCTGGCCTTCAAAAGTTGCTCAGGACATCTTTATTCTTTATCCCAGTGCAGCTCCCTAGAGCCAGGTGGTAATGTCACTTGGGGTAAGGCCTTGGGCACAGTCTGCCTGGAGGCTGGGGGTGTGTTAATGCCTCTAGACAGAGGGATTACTGGCTCCTTACCATGAGGTTAAGGGGAAAGATGAAATGTGTAGGGCTCCTTTTTGCTAACAGTTGAGCTTCTGAACAGTCCCAAAGCATGAAGTTTGTTGTAGATTCATTCTCCTCTATCTGATGTGGTGGAGGTTTTCGTTGGCAAGTGCTCCAGTGACCTGCTTTGACTGCAGGAAGAATGCCAGCAGAACCAGCATGGACACTGAGAAGAGCTGTTCCTCAGGAGCACAGGAGCAAAGGGATCAGGCCCTGAGTCACATTTTCAGTTCTAAACCACAGATCTCAGAGTTCAGGCTGTGCTGGTGCCCAGCATTGCTGTTAGGAGAGTGCTCAGTCAGTGTCCTGTAGCAGTGGGGCTGTCAGTACCAACAGAGGGGCAGCTCTGGGGGCAGATTCCTCCTCCTCTCCACTCCCAGCATTCTGAATTCGGTTCTAAGCCCTGACTGGAGCCCCGTGGTGTGTTCCCTGCAGCCCAGCCCCACAGCTGGGGTCTCACACCATCAGTGCCCAGCCAGACTTGCTATGGGGTGCCTAGGGTAAAAGGGGAATACATGAGCTGTGATTTGGGGAGGGTTTTAATTTCTTCCTGTTTTTTTTCTGTTTTGTTTTCCTTGAAGGTCTCCAAGTTGCCAAATCTCCGCTCGCTCAGTCAGCTCCTCCTCCTTGACATCATAGATTCCTTAGCTACCCACATCTCAGACAAGCAGTGTGCAGAGCTGAGCGCAGACATATGACATGCCTTGGTAATCCACCTTCTCATTTTTTCCTGAAAAACACAGGCACTTTAGAGCTGGCTCTGGTTTACTGTTACGTGTGGAGTAGCTCAGTGTCTGCACACTACAGCAGGCCTGGAGGAGCAGGGACAGCTGAGGCGCTCTCTCTGGATTTTCTGGGTTTGTACCTTTGTGCAGCGTTTGGACTTTGTTACATTTGTTACCCAAATGTAGACTTGAAATCCTTGCGGGCCTGAATTAATTCCACGTGGTTTGGGGAGTTACTAAGTTCATAATCAAGCCCATTATTACTTTCATACTGTAAAATCAAGCAGTCAGGAGTAAGAGTCTCTAATCCTTTGAAACACAATATTTAAAAATACTATTTAAAGAGCTTCAGCTGACGCAGCCCCAAGGGCTGTAAGGGGAAGTCAGAACGAAACTGGGAGCAAGAGCACGTGTTGTTCACAGGGAGACTGGACCTTGGACCAGAATGCATTGACTTTTCAGAGCCTCCATGGTGTGGATTAACAGATAAACCCCTGTGCAACTGCCCAGATTGGTGGGCTGTGGGAATCCAGACCTATGCTCTGCAGCAGGTCAGACTGGAAGATTATAGCAGTCCTCTCTGACCATCAAATCCATTAATCCTGTCTTGCTAAGCCTTTCTAAATCTATTTGTTAATAAAGAATGAACATCTCCTGGCATTTCATTATTAACTTGGATTTCATTTTGGAAAAAACTAAGCAAAAAACGTTCTGCGCTTGATGAAAGTCACATTGTTAAAAATAAGTGTGTTACATCTTGTTACTAATTTTATATTGAAGTGTCTCTGTGAGCCCTTGTCTTTGCAGGAAGGTGAATGAAGGCAGAGTGCCCTTCCCAGCCCATGCAGGAGCAGCTGCTGTTTCCTCCTCTTGCAGCCCCCAGCTCTGTGCTGGATGCTTCCCACACTGCAGAGTGGAGAGGAGAGGAGCTTCACCTCTCCTCACAGCTGGATGGTGTTGGTTGGAGAGCACCAGAAATGTGGTGTTGGTAAAGTCTCTGGTGATGGAACTGTCCCAGCCCTGCCCAGAGCCCTTGGGGCTGCCCTGGGAGGGAGTGAAAGCTGGGAATCAAAACCTTGCAGCTGCAGAGGGGCTGCTCTCTGCTTGTCTGAAGCTGGAGTGGTGCAGGATCCCTACTGAGACATGCAGCTCCCAACCCTCACATTCCCACCCTTGCAGCTATGATTTTCATTCAGTGAAGTGTTCCTGGAGCAGCAGTTGTGAGCTTCTCAGCATCCCACAGCCTGACACACCTGCACGTGCTCCGGTGTGCAAGGGTATTGCAGTCTGTGCAGTGGAGAACATGTCACCTATTTAATCCAAGGGAAGTGCTCGAGGGACCACCCTGTCTGTCTCCCTGGTGGCTTGCTCAGGTGAGTCAGACCAGAGGTGACAGGTACTTCTGAGAGCCAAGGGCGCCTTTTAAACCAGAGGTCATGATAATTGTACTGACAGGCTCTGTGTTCCCTGGGAAACCAGATTGGCAGCTGGAGAAAGGTTCTACACTGCAACTTGTAACGACACTACAGTCTATTTCCAGTAATGCTGATCCACTAGAGGACACCCATTACCCAGGGAAGCATTTTCTCAGGCTGAACAGCTTGGTTTCAACCATGCCATAACCAGCCCTCTAAATCCTGAGCCCACTTGTGAAGAAATGTGCAACCTCCTCACCCTCTGAGCGTGCACTGCGGGGTCTTGGCTTTAGCAGGGGGTTGGATTCAGTCACAGCTGTAGGGACCAGAGTGCTAAGTCAGAGATTTAGTGTGAAAACTTGTAGTCCACTGAGATTTGCCTCTGGGCTGGTGTGCAGAGTGGCAGGACAGTGCACCTCTGAGAGGACATCCCCAAGTTTCCTAGGAGATCACAGGATGGGAGGTGTTGTAGGGGTCACACAGACTGTGGGGTACACATGAGCTTCCCAGGACAGTTAGGTGTTCTTGTTATCACCACCTTGGTACCATCATGGGCAGCAGGCTCTCAGGTGCTCCTGCAAAACTCCTTGGGCACTTTTGTACTGCAATTTGTGCAGTCATATACCTGCATTTGATAAGGAATAAGGAACATTGTGGCTGTCCAGCTTATTCCTACAGTCTCTGCCCCATGCAGGCCTCACTGGCTCTTTAAAGCCCTTGGGACTGCTGGTGGGAGAGCAGGAGCACTCCTTTCCTCCAACCCAGTGAGAGCCCCAGCATGGTGGCAAAAAGCAAGGTGGAGAAGCAATCCCCAGCTCCTCTGCTGCACCAGCTCAGGGCATTGGAGCCAGGAGGTCCCAGCTTGGCCACACTGCACCAGCTCCCCCTGTCCCCACTGTCACACAGGACCCGTGACAACTGGGCAGAGCCTAGCAAGGAGCTGGATCAGGGCCAGGAGCTGCTCCAGCCCTGCAGGCACTAAGGCCAAGCCCCCCATCCCTCCAGTGCCAGCATGGAGAGAAGCCAGCAGCACCCCAAGTGCCCAGGGCAGGGCTGGCAGTGGGGTAGGGAGTCACTCTGAGGTGGCCCATGGCTCACTGGGAACAGGAAGAACACTGAGAAAAAAATTACACATTTTAATAAGGAAATGTGCAGTGAGAGGGAGGCACTGAGGTCCTGCCAGCAGAACAGTGGCAGAGGAAGCAGAGCCCAGGCTGCCTCAGGCCTCACCACCCCCCAAGCCCAGGATCTTCTTGACATAGTTCTGGACGTTGACGTGGAGCTGGGGGGCCGTAGCAGAGAAGATCTCCATGGCCAGGGCCCGGGTGGCCTCAGAGCCACCCCACATGGCACGGTACAGGGGCAGCGTGTACTTCTGCTTGCCCTGCAGGGAGACAGAGCAGTTATGGCCCAGGTTCTGCCCCAGGCGCAGGGGTGACACCCCACATTCCCCTCCCCATCCCCCAGGATGCCTCCAGCATCAGCCTGCTCTTAGCGAGGCACAGAGCACATGGCAATGGGACCAGACAAAGAATGTTGCCATGGGCAGCCCCTGGCACCACAGCACCTGAAGAGGGGAGAACACCTGGACCTTGGAGAAGGAGCAGACCCTGAGAAGCTCATGAAGTTCAACAAGGCCAAGTGCAGGGTCCTGCACCTGGGTCAGGATGGGATGGATGGAGGGGTGGAGAGCAGCCCTTCAGAGGACTTGGGTGACAAATTGGGTGTGACCTGGCCCTGTGCTCTCCCATCCTGGAAAGCCAACTGTGTCAGAGGCTCATCCTCAGCAGTGTGGGCAGCACGTGAGCAATTCTGCCCTCTCATAACTCCCAGCACTGGAGCACTGCATCCAGCTCTGGAGTCTACAGCAGCACAAGACACACATGGACAGAGCAGGTCCAGAGGAGTCCATGGAGCTGTTCCAAGGGCTGGAGCCCCTCTGCTCCGGGGCCAGGCTGGGAGAGATGGGCGTGTTCACCTGGAGAAGAGAAGGCTCCAGGGAGAGCTCAGAGCCCCTTCCAGTGCCATGTGACTTTGGAGTGACAGGACAATGGGGAATGGCTTCCCATTGCCAGACAGCAGGATTAGATGGGATATTGAAAAGAAATTCTTCCTGTGAGGGTGGTGAGGCCCTGGCACATCCCTGGATGTATCCAAGGCCAGGCTGGATGGGGCTTGGAGCAGCCTGATCTAGTGGAAGGTGTCCCTGCCCATGGCATGGAGTGGAATAAGATGAGCTTTAAGGTCCCTTCCAAGCCAAACCATCCTGTGGGACTGTCAGAAGCAAGGGCCAACCCCTGTCTCTCTGGCACTGAAGGCCTTGTGCCCTTCTCTCCCCACTGGCATGCTGCTGGGCACTGCCACCACTGCCCAGGGACAAACCTGGCTGTGCAGGAAGTCCTTGACTTTGCTGTACTCAGCCTCCAGGTTGTTCTTGAGGACAATCTGACACCAGCGCAGTCGCAGCTCAGCGTTCTGGGCCTTGGAGATCTTGGGGTACATCTTGCTCAGCCTTTCCACATTGCCTGTGAGAGGAGAGTGGTCACCATCCCCCACGAGGCTCTGACCCAGCTCCCAGGGAACCCTGAGTCCATCCCAGCTGTGCTGCAAATTCTCTGGGATCCTCCCAGCTTTGGGTCAGTCCTAGCCCTTGCCCAAGCACCGCCCACCCCCAGTTCTGGAGCACCCCAGGCACTTGCTGGCTCTGGGCAGGATGGTGCCCATGTTGGGCCTTCCACGCTGGGCAGCCCTGCAGGGCCATGTGCTGGTGGCTTGGGGTGCCAGTACAAAGTGGGGGGAGATTCCTCAGCAAAGAGGGCAAGGAGAGTTGTGGTGACACAGGGACACGACAGCCCAGCAGAGCCAGCCTGGGGACAGCAGAACTACACATGTCCCCACAAATGGAGGGACATGCTCACCCTGGCTCTCCATCCCCCACCACACCAACTGAGGCTCCCCTGGAACCAGCAGCCACAGAGCAGATGGAGAGGGGCTGATGGCCACACACCCATGTGTGTCCCTGATGTGCCTTCACATCCTCGGCCAACTGGCTGCACTGGGGTACCTCACCCTGTGTCTCCTCTGGGCACCAGAGCCCTGGGAGTTCACTCACCTTCAGGCAGGGGGGATTTCTGCAGGACCTGATCCAGGAAATAGACCAGCTGGTATGTCCTCCAGCCCATGATGTCCACGGCTTCGATCGCCTCCATGTTCAAACCATCAGCTGCCCAGAGCTCTGCCAGCTCATCCGCCGGCCCCATCAGCTGCTGCCCCGGCGACAGGTCAGGCAGGTAGGGCGGCCAGCCTGGCACGTTCAGCCAGCGGTCAAATTCAAACCCTGCAGCAAGGCAGGAGGGAGAGCTGGGAACAGATCCCCGAGCCCCATACCAGGTGCTGCTGCTCAGACCCCCCACTGCCTTCCCCCAGTGCCACCAAACCTGCCTGAGGACCACCACAAACTAATGGGGTGAGGCCATCAGACACATGGCTTCAGGGTGTGCTTGTGGGTATCAGCCCCAGCACCACCGGCAGGATGAGCTGGCTCCAGCACAGAAAGCTCCTGCCAAGCCTGGATCTCCAGCAAGGCTGGGCCAAGTGCAGAGTGCTGGCTGGGCCTGATCCCAGTGCTCACCAGACTCACCAGGCTGAGTCATGGACACCCCATGAAACAGCACCCAACTGCAGAGCAAGGACTGGGTTTGAATGGAAAAAAATCAGGCTGAGCTGGCATACGCCCAAGCCTGGGCCTGATCCCAGCAGGCCAGTGCCATCCATGCCTCCTCCAACAGAGCTGGGCTGGCAGCAACAGCATCTCCAGTAAAACACAAAAACCCACGAGCACAGGCTCTGGGGGACGTGGGCAGCAATGACACCCACGGGTGCGGGGCTGTGACGTGGCAGCCCCTGCTCCCTGGCCAGGATGACGCTGTGCTGACCTGGGATGGAGTCCACGCCTTTCTCCTTCAGCTCTGGGAAGTACTCCAGGAAGAACCCGAGGGTGTCATCTGCAGTGATGCTCTGGAACTTGAACCGGTTCACGTAGGCCTGTGGGGACAGATGGGGGTGATGCCAGACACTCACCCCAGCAGTGCTGCCCAACCCTCTGTGTGCTCCACCTCATGGGGGAACCCATTCCAGCACCCTGCATCCCCAGGGATATCCCTCAACATTCCCAGCACCTGCTGCTAGCACAAGACTAGGCTCTGCCTTCATCTTTATTCCCCTATTCACATTCCTGTTTCCCACCTCTTCTTCCTCTCCCCAGCCACCCTCTCAGCCTGTCCTTCCCAGGGTCCTGCTGTGCCCTGGCCTCCTGCTGTGGCATTTTGGATGACTTTGCAGCTCACACCC